ATTATAGGGCTACTTGAATAGCCATGGGGGGAAATGAAAAAAATGAGCCTATCAGAATGGAAGCAGAGGAGCAGATATCAGCTCATTTAATACAATTGTAGCCTGCAAAAGATATCAAATTGTTTTGGCTTTTGGTATGGGCATTATTTTGTATCTGATTTTATGGCCAATTTCATGCTTCCATTTCAGCTTCTGAAAGAAGCTGTTTTTCTTTCACATCTTTCACCTGCCAGCTAAGGATTTAATGGGCAGATCTAGGCTATGTACATGTTAGCGGCAAGTCACCTAGGTGTACACACAAGAGAAGGGGCAGGAATGTCTTCCCCAAATGTGCATTACTTGATTTGTTTCCCAGTGTCGGCAATCCTCCCTCCCAAACTCCTGTTTGTGGAGCTGTCATCAGCACGTGCACAACTGTCTCAAAGGCATACAACCTCAGTTAAACTGTGAAGTAAATGTGTCTTAGGTTTTTAAATTGGCTGGAAGCTAGTTTGAGGGGGAACGGCATCAAACAGCAGTATTTCTAAAGAAAATACAGGATAGATATAGATTGTGGCTAATGCCATGCCTACATGGTTTCAGACACCATTGGTGGGAGCACACTGGAGCCAGAATAAACAGTAATGTGCACACAGCCCTAGTCTGCTGACAATGGAATTTGCTCTTTAGTCTTCAGCTCTTCTTCCTTTGCTCCTGTTTGTACAGTGGTACCTCAGGTTAAGTACTTAATTCGTTCTGGAGGTCCGTTCTTAACCTGAAACTGTTCTTAGCCTGAAGCACCACTTTAGCTAATGGTGCCTCCTGCTACTGCTGCGTTGCCGGAGCCCGATTTCTGTTCTTATCCTGAAGCAAAGTTCTTAACCTGAAGCACTGTTTCTGGGTTAGTGGAGTGTGTAACCTGAAGCGTATGTAACCCGAGGTACCACTGTATTTTGTTTTTCTCTTGTTGACTGAAATCTGCTTTTGTTTGTTGTCAGTCTGAAGCCAAAACCAATATGGTGCCATTGTTTAAGCAGTCAAAATGGGGGTGTTTTGCTAGTTACAAATAAATAATCAGTGACACATTCCAAAACCTATTCCTATTTAGGCTCCTTTAGTAATGCATACACTTTGGGCACCAAGCTGTAGTGGATCTTCTTTGCAAAGTATATTGGTGGGCTATTTCTGTTAACGTGAGGAAGACTTCAGACTAGGCCAGGGCCAAAGCCGGGCCGCCCAGCCAGGTCACCAGCTGCCAGCCTGGGCCATGCACTTGCGCACAGCCTGCCAAGCTCATTAAAATTTGCCCCAAATGTAAAGTGCTAAGTAGGCCCATCTATGGTATCAGTCTCAACTATTTTGTGGAATGTGGTTGTGAGAGCATCATGAGCACAATAGCATCTTTAAGTTACTGGCAACAAGCTCAGCTTTTAATACATATAATTTTACTTTAGAAGTAAAATTGTTCTTTAGAAGCTGATCATTCATGCCTCCTTTCCATCAAAGTAGTTCTCAACACAGATGCACTCAGCCTTTAAACATAATAGCAGCAAATCTGGTGAAAGCTAGCAAAGCTGTTTGCCTCTCCCCCCTCCACAGCAGTGTTCTGCCATTCAATTAACTTTATTCCCGTTCTCCACTTCTTAAAAAAATGTTGTTGCCTGAAGGCTGTGTATTCACCTTTATAGGGCTGGATTGTAGAGCAAGCCTCATTAAAAATAAAAATAAAAAAATGCAAATCCTGCCCTCTAGCAAGCCTATCCCTGTACATTGCATGGGTTATCAGAGCTGTCCTGAGTTTGAGACTAGTATCCTGAAAACTCTAAACTTAGGCTTCTTCAGCTACACTTGCCTTTCAATAGGGAAGATGTGCTTTATTGGATAACAGGATCAGAACTGAATTAGGATGGCTATCTAACTGCTTCCATTGGTGTCCAAAAAACGTTTTGCAAATGTTGGTTGTTTTGTTTTAAACAAAAGGGTGTAGGATGTGTCTGGGAAGAGTGAAGCTATGGAGAGCAACCCCCTCCCCAAATCACAGTGGTTCAGGGTAGGGGGAGATACGGTGTGGGAGATAGGCCAAGTAAGGGGCACACGGTGCAGGCAGTTGGTGACTTGTTATAAGTAAACCTCTAAAGATGGTTCAGAAGCTTCAGCTGCCAAGTTGCTCACTGGGACAAGATGGTTTGAGCATATTACACCAATCCTGGCCTGACTGCACTGGCTGCCAATTAGTATTCAGGCCCAATTCAAAGCGCTGGCTTTGACCTATAATGTTTTAAACTGCTCAGGACTGCAATACCTCAAGGACTCCCTCTCTTTATTTGAACATACCCAAGACCTTGCAATCTACCTGCACTGGCTCTCCCTTTTCCATATGCCCTGTTATTTCAAGCCAGTGTTCCCTTCATTCTTTCCCCACCCAAAGTAGTGTGTGTGTGTGTGTGTGTGTGTGTGTGTGTGTAATATATGGATGCTCATGTTTTGATAATGGAAGAGATACTGCACCCACCCTCCCCTTCAGCAAATAGAAAAATGCACCTTGTTTCATACTTCTTTCTCTAACCTCACACTAAAAAATGAAAAGGAAAGTTAGATGGACACCACAGCCACTTTGATTATGATGATAAAAGAGGAAGATGCTTCTGCAGAATGCCCACAGTAGGAGCAGGCCTTGTGCAATGGCTATCTATCCTTGTCTTGGACTGTGTAAAGTTTCCTCTGATATGTTGTCTTTTTACTTTTAAGGGAAGTGCAGTGTAAAAGTTGAACAAAACCCACAGCTAGCTCCAGTATGACCTCTTCTAGGCAGCAGAGCTTGCAAACTCTCGTTTCTGCTGTGCAGTATCAGTTAGGTGTACTGTGTGATTAAAAGGAATGACCTGTGAGTGAAAGATTATGCCTATTGGATCTGAACAACTATCAGCATGTAGAATTATTGCCTAGGCAATTACCTCAGGCTTACTTGATGCCTTAAGTCAGGTAGAATTTTCTGCATGGTGTCTTTGAAGGCTTTCATTCAGCAGATTAGGCATTTTGGGGATGGTAGGTTTCTACCTTACTCACCGCTGTATTTGAATCTAGGTTATTTGAATCTCTCAAATACTTGAATATATTCCCGTGTCCCTATGCCTGTGTCAGCACAGTCTTTAAAACAGATGCCTCCTCCTATTTGTTTTTCTTATTTTCTGGATGTTCCTTGGGTTGTTCGGATAAATGATGTTCTACTTCTCATGCCAGGATGTACTTTGCAAGTCTTTCATTGCACTCATCAACTTGATTTCTTCAGGAAGTTGAATTGCTTGCTCTAAAAGCATGTGGTCTTACCATTATGTCTCCTGGAACTTGTAAAGTGAGTTTTTAACATTATAATAGCCCACAAAGCAATGGTACATGACTATGTCAATATGTAGCCTATCCTGAAACTGGGAACATATGGCTCTTTTCCATTTGTGATGAATCAGTGCAGTGTGGCATTTAGGATGTCCGACAGCCTTTTGCCTAAACTTGGTACCTTCTTGATGTTTTTGCACTACAACTCCATCAGCCCCAACCAGCCTGGCTGTCTTGGTTGGGTCTGACCCCCGACTCTTCCCCCTCCGTTACAGTCACTAGAGTGTAGCACTCAAATTGGACAACTGTCTCAGTGACAACAAGTGCAAGTTAATTTGCTTAAGTTTAGACACCGCTGCTCAAGTGGTTTGTTTGCGATGCTGTAGTTCTCAAATTATTTGCTTTCGTTGTGATAAAACTGAGATGATGAGCTAACCATCAGTTTCTGTTTGTCCAGCCAATGTGTAGGTTGTTAAATTATGTTCCTTCACCCTGTGGGGTCAATGGGGATTTCCAAGAGTCAGATGACTAAGTTCCCAGCTTTACTGTAGCCCACCAACACTTGGAAAACACATTTACTAAGCTCCTCCAGACAGAGTGAATTATGTGCTATCATTGCTGGTGGACAGTGAAAGGCTCACAGATGCTGTGGGGGGCTTGATCTTATTGGCAGCTGCACAGTACTACAGCTGGAAGAAATGTAGCACGGTTGCGTTCCTGTCCCATAGCTGATTCTGCACTGGGGGTGGGGAGAGAGGACTTGAAACTCTACCAAGTGGCTCTCTCCAAGCACTTTGCTCTATGGATATTAATTGATTTGATGGTGAATAGCCAGTACCTGGATTTCTTTTCTTCTTCTTTGGACACAATCCCCTTAACAATCATAAGAATATGTTTGTTGTTCATATTCTGACGTGAGGCAAATGTGCAATAATTTGATTCTGTAATGGACATGTATTACCAAGGTGGCCATTACTTCAGTGGAAGGAAGACTTGTATATCGGAAGGACTTTTGTGGGATTCAGTCTGCATTTCTAGACAGCGCTGTGGAGGTCCCCTGCCTCACACCTTGGAGAGCTGCTGCCAGTTACTGAGCTAGATGGACCAATGGTCTGACTTGGAATGAGGCAGCTTCCTGTGTTCCTGTGCATTTGCATATTCTGAACTCACAGTTTGTTCCATTCTTCTGGAGGCACCTCTGTGGAAGCTTCAGTGCTTTTCTCTAGCTGTCAAAGTAGCCCAAGTGCTGTGCTATTGCATTTCCCCATAGAGGTAAATGGTCACGGGGTCCAAAAATAAATGGCTGCACTCATGGGTAGGGATATCAGAGAATACTGAGAAAATCAGAAATTGCCAGCATTTTCTTATTTGTCCCTGGAATAGAAACCATTCTAGCAAATACCATCAACATTTGCTGTTGTTGTGTTTAGTTCACAAATGGTACATAATTGAGTATGTCCTTCCCCATTTGCATTGTGTTGCCTCTGCCCTGAAATAAATGGGATGGAATAACATACTTTCAATGTAATTTATGTAATTATGCAAATTATTTAATTTACAAGAGTGAGATGAATAGCCTAGGTTTTGGGAGGAGATGAAGTGCAGTGGAATGGATTACTAGCAAAATTTGAAAAGGAGAGCTTTGGCAACCTCTTCCTAGAAATGGAAGATGGGAAGTGTACAGAAAGGGAGTCATAGCTCAATGGTACAGCTCCTGCTTTGCATGCAGAAGATTCCAGGTTCAATCCCAGGCATCTCCAGGAAGAGTCAGTATAACGCGGCTTCCTATGTTCCTACCCAAAATGTCCAAGGGCACCCAGAAGACTGAAATGTGCTACACATATAGGCTTAGTCACATGGATTGCTAGGTAAGGCTGGAAACAAGCTCCATGCAGACAGTCTGCTCATGCCACTAGAATCCTGTGAGCAAAGATGTTTTAAATCTGCCCCCTTATCATATCCTTGTTGCCAGACCCCCAACTTTGTAGAGTTCAAATTTACCCAGTTGCTTGCCTGGGTACAGCAGGCTCCCCACTACAGATATTTTCTCCTCAATGTGTGTGAGGTTGTAGGGCAGTAAGAAGGATGGGGTGCAGGGTTTGGGGGCTAGCAGGTGCACCCCTGATATCCCCCTCATTGCGTGGAGAATGCCTGAAGAGGAGTGATTGTGTATTTTCTAACACTGAGCTGTCAAACTTTCGGCCACAAATTTTACTTTACAAATACAGGCCAGTTTTCCAACACAGAGCAAGTTGGAGTTCCATTTCCTCTTCAGATTTTGGATAGCAAGTAACATATATCCTATGCTTGCAGAATGCAGGTTCCATTTCATTTTCGTGCTTGAATGCATGTTTGTTGGATTACAGTAACTGGCCAAGAATATTTATATTCACATGTGCATGTTGACCCTCCCAGGCAAAGCCTGTGAATGTTTGAACTCACTGGTGTATGCCTTCACTTGTCAGCTATACACCAATGAGTACTGACAATCTCATTTAGGTGACTGTCAACATTCACTCGGGTGTATATCTGAGTTTTTTGACATGAACAAAATTTATCTGAAATTGTCAATATTCACCCGACTTTGGACATTCCATTTCAAAGTATCCATCTATTGGGAGACAAGGTAGAGGTTTCAGAATATTTGGGGGACTTCTAAGGTTATGCAGAAATATTACCTTGCAAAACCTATGGAATATTGATTTTTTTAAAAAGTAAAAGGGGGGGGTCCTGTTTGACCCCTAACTACTTATAGCAGGAGTTCTATGGAGAAGCTTCATTCAGGTGGTTTGAGATACGTCTGTGGATTTGTGGTTGAAGGAGAGCAATGACACACCCACCACATTAAATATCCACACTGATTTTAATGGTTTATCCTATTTCTTATGTTATATTCTATTGTATTAATATTTGAATTCTATGGAAGATACAACACAGAAGAAATAAAAGAAGCAATGAAAACCATCTAGCAGAGTGCATTACAATGGTTTCACCAAACAGAAAAACCATTAAGTGGTCCATCAAGACCCTCAGCAATTTTCAAGCGGTCCACTGGGGACAAAGTTTAGGAACCACTGGTTTATAGTACCCTGGAAGGGGCAATTAAGATTGGATGAAGGTGCTCAATGAGATTACTTCCCTTGGTGAACCCTGAATGGCAGGTTCATCCCAGAATGGATTGTTAAAACCAAAGCACTAAACCTATAGCACCTTTATTTATATGCAATGATAACAGTTGTGGTCAGTTATGGACTGGGGAAATTAAAAGGTGTTGGCTTTTTAAACACAGCTTGCTGATTGTTGACACTCAAGCTCTGGTCATTTTTAGTCATAGTTACTGGAGTGACAAACCTAGACAGCATCTTAAAAAGCAGAGACATCACCTTGCCAACAAAGGTCCGTATAGTCAAAGCTATGGTCTTCCCAGTAGTGATGTATGGAAGTGAGAGCTGGACGATAAAGAAGGCTGATCGCTGAAGAATTGATGCTTTTGAATTATGGTGCTGGAGGAGGCTCTTGAGAGTCCCATGGATTGCAAGAAGATCAAACCTCACTGGAAGGACAGATCATGAAGCTGAGGCTCCAAGACTTTGGCCACCTCATGAGAAGAGAGGACTCCCTGGAAAAGACCCTGAAGTTGGGAAAGATGGAGGGCACAAGGAGAAGGGGACGACAGAGGACGAGATGATTGGATACTGTTCTCGAAGCTACCAGCATGAGTTTGACCAAACTGCGGGAGGCAGTGGAAGACAGAAGTGCCTGGCGTGCTCTGGTCCATGGGGTCACGAAGAGTCGGACACGACTAAAGGACTAAACAACAACACTGGAGTGAAATAAAAGGTAACAATAAGATGTCTCCAGGAAAACTGTTCCATGGAATCAATGTGCTTCTGTGCTTGGTTACACCTGAATACCTTATTGTAGCATAGGTAGGTTGGTCAGTCTCTTGCATAGGTTTCGTTAATTAGATTCTCCCCAGACGAATGGGATGCTTCAAACATACAAAATAAAAGTGCTTTGTCTTAACTGTTAAGGCTGAGTTGGGCAACCATTGGGCTGTGGGCCATATGCAAACTTCAGCTGTTCTCTGTGTGGCCCACTAAGCCCAGGGGAGACCTGGCCACCCTTCCCCACTGCCCAGCTGATCAGCCATCAGGAGGGTAGTGGGGGGAATATTAAAGCAGTGTAGGGATAGTAGGTTGTTGTCGGTTTTTTGTACACTAGGAGCACTGGGGGAGGAGACTACAACGTCTTCCCCAGTGCTCCTGATCCAGCCAAGATCACTAATAGCAGCATGAGAAAGTGATACTTTGCATATAGGGAGTGTTGGGGGTGAGGCTTTTCAACAATTAGAAATTTTCATGAGTAGCAGCTTATGGGCATGAGTCTTTGGCTTCCCAGAGAATCATAGAATTGTAGAGTGGGAGGGGACCACAAGAGTCACCTCGTCCTTGCAATACAGGAATATTTGGCCCAACGTGGGCCAACGTGGGGCTCAAACCCACCACCATGAGATTAAGAGTCTCCTGCTCTACCAACTGAGCTAGAATTTGCAGCGTAGTGTCTATGCCTGTTTTTCCAAATGACACAGTTCTCTCCTCCCTGGAAACTACAGGCTTGTGTGATAAAATGGCTTCTTCTATCCATCAGGAGGTGAATAGGACAGCCACATTATCAGATTCAGGCAGGGTAACTGGGATCAACTGGGCCTGGTTTCCCCAAGCTTTTCTCTTTTTTCATGTGTGAAGGCATCCTTTAAGCACTGGACTGAGCAAGCATGAGGCTTTTTCTGGGGCTTCTCATCACATTTGCTTGAAACCCTTGCCTTTCTCAGTAATTAATACTACCCCTTCCCATTGTGAACTGTGATTAAACCCAGGCCGTTTTATGCATACAGAACTGTGAATAACACTTAGACAGAACATTGACATTATTTAGTGTTAAGTGTTCAGCTGTAAAACCGCTCACTGTTACAGCCAACTTAAAGCAGACAAATTAGGTGGCTTTAAAGTGTTATCCTCCCCTGGCCTCCTAGTTTTACTGCCAAATCATGAAATGAATCTAGCTATCTTAAAGAAATGTATATTTTCCTTTGGTTGTAGTAGGCTAGCTGCCTGCTATTGCAAGGTCACCAAGGAAAAGTTAGCATGAATATAGTACATCTGGGTGCCCTTTCGGTATCAAATACAGGGTTCAAAGTTGTTCCTTTAAATAAAGGGACAAAGGAACAGAGTCTGAGGAAGGAGTAGAGGACCAGGAGAGGAAAATGAGGTGACAGCTAGCAGTTGATTGACAGAGCAATCCTGTACATGTGTTCTCTGAAGTATGACCTACTGAGTTCAATGGGACTTACTCTTAAGTTACTGTGTCTAGGATTGTGACCTAAATGTGAAACACCCACAACATTTGGAAATCTGAAACACCATTGAAGAATTTACTGCTTTTATTTTAAACACTACTGTTCCTAATCCAGGGAGATCTGCATGCATATTCCACCTACAGTATTTGTAGCTGATGTTCATCAACATGCGAAGGCAATGGAAAATGTCAGTTCCAAATAGGGATTGTTAGGAAAAGGATTGGGGAGAAAAAAGGCTAGTAATGTAATGCCTTTCTGGGGTGGAGCTGTGCTTGGAATACTGTGTACTGGCATAGTTACCTTGTCTCAAAAACTGCAGAACTGGAAAAGGTATAGCAAAAGGCAATTAAAATGACCAAAGGCTTGGAGCACTTTCCCTATGAGAGAAAGCTTCCATGCAATTTTAATTTATTTTTAGGAAGCTATACAGAGTCAGACCAATGGTCCATCTAGCTCAGCGCTGTCTACAGGAACTGGCAGCAGCTCTCTAGGGTTTCAGGCAAGAGTCTTTCTCTCCCTGGAGATGCTGGGGATTGAACCTGAGACCTTCTGCATGGAAAGCAGATGTTCTACCACTGAGCCATGGTCCTTTACTTCCTTTCATTTATACACCACCTTTCTTCCATCGTGGACCTCAATGCGGCATACATGTGGTTTTTCAGGTGGTCTCCCATCCAGGCACTAACGAGACCCAGAGTTGCTCATTTTCAGCACGGTGGTGACCTCCTGGGTCTTCAGACCATACCATAGGACATTTGGGAAAACAATGGAGACTTAGTTGCACCAGTTATTGGGATGCTCAGAGGGTGGTGGGGTTTTTTTGGGCAGAGCCTTGCTGAATTCAAAGTGACCTAGTAGGGCCAATGCCCAGCTAAATTGTCCATCCAGGAAATCTCTCCATGGCAGTAATGGTAAAGGGCATTGTCGTAATCTCAAACAGTTTCTATTCATTTCAGTGGGGCTTGCCCAAGATTGTGTTCATAGTCTGCTGGTGTTAAATAACAGTCTATATTTAGAGGCAGTAGCATTGCGAAATGCTCCTGGGTTTACTGAAAGGTCTGGTTTGCGGCTGGCAGGGGTCAGCAATTGTTGTAAATACAGGTTTTAAATATAGAAGCCTTTCCATTAATGCTGATTTCTGTGCTTAGAAGAGAACCACGCCATTCTTCTTTTATTAATTTTTATGGTTCCACGGGGGAAATGTTAAAACACCTATAAAGTCTAGTTTAGAAACTCTACCCATTATGTTATCTGTTTAAGTAAATTCGTACGCTGGGAATTTGTAATATGCTGCAGACTTGAATTAGCTGGATAGGGCAATTACTGTGCATAATTTCAGCCTTACAAATATCCTGGCTCCCAGCACAACGGACACCATGGTTCTTTTGAGGGCTGGTTACGCCAAGGCGCACTAAAAGGATTTTTTTGTTCATTGACTCACTCCGACTGCTAAGGGCTCCTTCCGAGCTGCCGTGGATACAGAGTAAATTACAGGGCACCAACCCTTGTCGAAGGTGGAGCTGCATTTTAAAAACAAAGTCAGGCAGTCTTAAGTATTTTCATGTTGTGAATAACCTGTTCAAAAATATAATTGCTGTTTAGGACGGAGGGAGTGGGCTTATTCCACGAAGGAAAGGGAAGATGAATGGCATTTCAGAAGAGGGGGAGAAAGAGGGAGACTTATCAAGGCCAGCTTGCTTAGGTTACATCGGGGGTAGCCAACATGGTGCCCTTCAGATGCTGTTGGACTACAACTCTCATCAGCCCCAGCCAGGATGGCCAATGGTCAGGGATGATGGGAGTTGTAATCTAACAAATATCTGACTGTTGTGAGAATGCATTTAAGAACTGAAGCTGATCCCAGGCTGATGGACACGGCAACCCTAACCATGGTCACAATGCCTGGACACAAATCTGTGGGTTTTTTTTTTTTTGCACACCTCAGATCTCCCCGGTGCATGTGTTGGACTAAGGCATGAAAAATTACAGTCTGTCGCTTGGGGCAAACTGTTCAGGTAGTCCATTCAAGTCCAATCCCACAGTGTAATTCGTGCTGGCAAAAAGTCTCTGTGGAGTGTAAACATAGGAATTTTCCTTTCATCCCATCAGAGGTGGCCTTGCCACCAGGCAAGGTGAGGCCGCTGCCACAGTGGGCACTGTTTTGAACACCAGCAGAGTGTGAGGCAGAGATCTAGGACCACATAAGCACAATGTGCTATGCAATTCTCCTGCACAAGTCACAGAAGGTATGAACAGGAGCAGTGTCAAAGCATGGGAAGGGCTGTAGCTCAGGGTAGAGCATTTGCTTTGCATGCAGAAGGTCTATCCCTGGCGCCTCCAGGTAGGACTGGAAGAGATCGCAGTCTGAAATCCTGGAGAACTGCTGGAATCCTGGAGAGCTGCAGTCAAGGTAGCTAGGACTGAGCTAGATAGATCAATGGCCTGATCCAGTATATGGCAGCTCCCTATGTTTTTATGACTTCCATTGCTTCTGGCCATCTTAATAGACACTGTGCAGGAGAACTCCCTAGTGGTAAGGAACCATTTTCAGCTTGAGGGTCACATTCACTTTTAGAGAGGCAAGACCAGAGCCAAACGTGAACAGGGCAACAGATGTGGCTCTTAGGCTACATTGCAGACACATAAAAGTCAGGTTTATGCACACCCACACCCACCCACCCACACCACTTTCCACCCTCCATCCAGGTAAATAAAAAGCATTACTACATTTCAAAGATTCAATTCAGTTGAGCAAAATCAGTCTGGGAGGGCATGGAGCAGGGTCAGTTCAGGTGGGGAACTGGGGGCAACCTAAGGAGAGTCCCAAGGGGCAGAGAAGGAGGTCTGGAGGTCCCCAACCTCTGCCCTTATTGAAAGCGACCTTTCTTAATTAGTGGGTGCCATTCGGATGTTCCGCATCAAACTCCAAAGTGTCTTGAGTCTCCCCTGTGTCCTTTTGTCTTTGATCAGCCCAAACCTATATACTCTGGTTTAACTGTATTGCAAATGAGGCTGTTAGAGGCTGACACTCAGAAGATTATTCAGACAAGACATGCATATCTGAGTCATGGCTCTCTCCCTGTCACTCGTGAAGTGAGCTTGCAGTATTTAAAGGCGCAGATTGCTGCGGAATATGGTCAAGAATCTCTGATCTGATCTGATCAGCATAAAGTGATGTCTTCCTTACAAGCCTCTCATTCCGTTAAGTTATTCATAGGCTCAGTTTTCCAATAATGCTTTACACATTTCCCCAAGGTGGGGAGGATCTTTGACGTACTGCTTTGGAATGAAGGCCTTTGTATTTAGGTTGCCATTGGGGATAGTTCCATGTTCCTGACAAAAGCAGGACGAGAGACGTGCAAGTTCTGTGCTGTTCTGCGCAGGGATTTTTTTAAAGGCAGAAGGCAAATGAAAGGGCTGGAACTGAATGGCAGCTCAGTCTCGCTTTGTATGGATCAAAAGGCTTCTTAAGAATCACGCGCTCTGGCTGTCAGGCTTCAGATCAGGAAGGGCCCGTCCAAAAAGACGAGGACTGCCATGGGTGCCAAGAAATAGCTCACTGCCACATCCAAGCCCCGGACAGGAGGCAGAGTAGAAGACTTCCAGGCAGTCCTTGGCCTCAAACCCATTTGTCCTCTTTTTCCCCCAAACCCCTCCATTTGGCAGGTGAAGATAAAAGATTAGTATGAGCATACTGTACATCTTAGCTAGCTGCCTTTGGGATCTGAAGGAAGGATGTAATGAAATATTGCTGCTTCGGAATATTTTGCCCTAAGAAAAGTCAAATCATTTATTTGGCACTGTTAATTGACATATATCACAGGTGTGTTTTGGGTGGGGAATTGATGGTGAGGTGATGGGATGTGCATGTGTATTTTCATTTGTTCAGATATGTAGGTCTGAGGCAAGTGTAATCAGAAAAAACTGTGCAGCAGGTCCTTCCAGGGCCCCTTGCAGATGTGTCACCTGTGAGATATTTTTCCAGACTGGCAAAAAATTGAACTTTTAAACAAATTGGTTAAGGCAGTGGTTTGGTGGCCTTGCTTCTTTTGCATGGGAGGGAGAATCAGAATCAGGCAACAAAACTGACCAGTGATCCTTTTGGCCGTTCTGAGAGGCCTTCTGGGGAGAAAATGGCAGCCACTGGTGGCCATCATGAAAATAATACATCATCATTCTAAGACATTCTGAGGAAAACAAAATGACAGGGGACAGGTTAGGGGAGCTGAGGTGTGTGCCAGTGATTTTCCTCACCTCTCTGGCACTGAAGTTTAAAAACCACCCCTGTTTGCAGCTGGTGACTGGGGCTCTGAAATTGGAATGCCATTTTGAATGGTAGTAATCGAGGGCTTTGTGTGTGTTGTGCTGCAATACCATAGGAATGCATTGAAAAAATGCACAATTTGTTATTTTATACAGCATCCAATCTCTCATAATCACTATATATATTTGTTGTTGTTTAGTCGTTTAGTCGTGTCCGACTCTTCGTGACCCCATGGACCAGAGCACGCCAGGCACTTCTGTCTTCCACTGTCTCCCGCAGTTTGGTCAGACTCATGTTTGTAGCTTCGAGAACACTGTCCAACCATCTCGTCCTCTGTCGTCCCCTTCTCCTTGTGCCCTCAATCTTTCCCAACATCAGGGTCTTTTCCAGGGAGTCTGCTCTTCTCATTAGGTGGCCAAAGTATTGGAGCCTCAGCTTCATGATCTGTCCTTCCAGTGAGCACTCAGGGCTAATTTCCTTAAGAATGGATGCGTTTGATCTTCTTGCAGTCCATGGGACTCTCAAGAGTCTCCTCCAGCACCATAATTCAAAAGCATCAATTCTTCAGCGATCAGCCTTCTTTATGGTCCAGCTCTCACTTCCATACATCACCACTGGGAAAACCATGGCTTTAACTATGCGGACCTTTGTTGGCAAGGTGATGTCTCTGCTTTTTAAGATGCTGTCTGGGTTTGCCATCGCCTTTCTCCCAAGGAGCAGGCGTCTTTTAATTTCGTGACTGCTGTCACCATCTGCAGTGATCATGGAGCCCAAGAAAGTAAAATCTCTCACTGCCTCCATTTCTTCCCCTTCTGTTTGTCAGGAGGTGATGGGCCCAGTGGCCATGATCTTCGTTTTTTTTTGATGTTGAGCTTCAGACCATATTTTGCGCTCTCCTCTTTCACCCTCATTAAAAGGTTCTTTAATTCCTCCTCACTTTCTGCCATCAAGGTTGTGTCATCTGCATATCTGAGGTTGTTGATATTTCTTCCTGCAATCTTAATTCCGGCTTGGGATTCAGCCAGCCCAGCCTTTTGCATGATGAATTCTGCATATAAGTTAAATAAGCAGGGAGACAATATACAGCCTTGCCGTACTCCTTTCCCAATTTTGAACCAATCAGTTGTTCCATATCCAGTTCTAACTGTAGCTTCTTGTCCCACATAGAGATTTCTCAGGAGACAGATGAGGTGATCAGGCACTCCCATTTCTTTAAGAACTTGCCATAGTTTGCTGTGGTCAACACAGTCAAAGGCTTTTGCATAGTCAATGAAGCAAAAGTAGATGTCTTTCTGGAACTCTATAGCTTTCTCCATAATCCAGCG